GTTATGCGTTCCTGCGAGGGACGGGAGATTCTGGGGTCGATTCTCTTTTGTGTAGGGCTATGATTACGTTCTTCAAAGAACTTTCTTTATACCACGAGACGCTCTGCAAAGAGCTTACGTGTTTTTCTATCTTTGTCTAACTTCAATCGGTTCATGATTTCAATAAAATTAACAATTTTATCAACCATATAGGGGTTGAAAGTTGTTTAGAATCGACATAATAAATAAGCAATCTGCCGGTATCACTACTCCTTCGATGTACTACTAGCCACATACAAAATAGCTATGATAACTATGATCATATAAAGAATGCTGATGGATGGCCTATGCTCCTCTACAAGGGGTAACAGGCGCAAGTAAATAAATTTAAAACAATTAGTCTCTTTGATAAACTTCGATAATGATGTTAGAAGACGACGATTATCAGAACTACGTGATATAATAGCGCAATACATTTCGAACAATCTGGTCCCACATATATAAGCAAATAAATTAGCGAATAACGAGTTGACAGTTTCTGTTAATATTAATTACAACTCGACTAAAGACAGCATCGACTGTTTCACAATTTATTGTTAAGATTGGGCCCACGAGTATAAACTTATCACCAACACTCTAATAGTAGGCTAAAAATATACACACACGAGATCGAATAGTGAATAACAGATCTATCTTTATTTAATATATTTTAATATTTATTTGTATACTACTGTTACATTTAAAAGTAGGTAGCAAACATATTCCGATTTCGTCTTGTTAATTTTAGCAAATAGAATGTATTTCGAGGAATTTGTACTAATTTGGATTTTTCATCTCTTTCTAAATAATTATCAACCCCATTGGAATCGTGTATTGTAAATTATTGTTTCAAATATACCATAGAAATATTAAGCTTGATGGATTATTATATTAGAACAACACATATAAGCGAACAATATTGTTTTCAATTAGATCGTCATCAGGCTTTACTCTAATATACATGAATATTTATACGAAAATTTTTTTTAAACCAATCAAGGCAATATGAGTCAATAATCACAATGAAATAGAATAAGTCACTACACATAAAATAGGTAAAAGTACAAGTTGATAGTAGTACGAAGACAGGTGAACTGATAATAGTGAGAATAATCAAAATACAATAACAAAACTCTTATCAATAGTTAATCGTTGGAAATAGAAGGTCAAATAAACATGGGTAAATAAACTAGGAATAGTAATCACAAAACATTAAAATCATTACGTAATAAGGTGTGTGAGTAAATAATTAGATAGTGAAGAATACAAAGAGGCGAATAATGACAAACAAATAATGGATGTGGAAATAAGGTTAACGATAACACAAATAGAATAAAATAAATAATGATAATAATAAAATTTTGAAAAAATTAAAATTAAAATGGTGTACGGTGGCGCAACTTCGTGGATTGGTTGAAGTTAGACATTAACACCGTTGGATGCCGGCTCAGTGGTCTAGTGGTTAAGTGCTTGCGCGCGAAGCCAGTAGGTCCTGGGTTTGAGCCCCGCGTGGTGCGGGATCGTGGATGCGCACTGCTGAGGAGTCCCATACCAGGACGAAACGGCCGTCCAGTGCTTCCATGTTTCCAATGGTGGTCTAGCTTCAACTGACTCATGATTTCAACCTGTGAAAATTTCTAAAATTCTCCACAAAACCCATTCTGATAAAAAATGGTTAGTTAAGTTATAACCGGCCATGGAAGGGATAGGGGGGTCACGTATTTCTTCTGTACACATAAATTGGGGTTATATGTACGAATTCCAATGGCTTCAGCTATATGTAGGAGATGGGAACGGACTCCGTCGGGAAATGATGGAGGTATACGATAGATAACTTGAAATGATTTCGATTTATCTAAAGCATGACCGCTATCAATGAGATGTGCCAATATAGAACTGCGAATAGATTTTATCTGGCCCTTTATGTACCAAGTTGGTAGATGTTCACTCATTGGTTGGTTAAGTTGCCTGGTAGTACGCCCTATATAGCTATTTCCACAGGAGCAGCTGAATTTGTAAATGCACATGGAAGAGGCCAACTCAGGTAACTTATCCTTCGTTTGAGTAGACATCGCTGGTCGACAAGAGAAGGTCAACGCAAGATTGGCTGCGTAGAATGTCCTGGTTATTACTTTGGTTAACCTATATTTTAGAGTGTCACTAGCCACATCCCCATTGAATTGCACTTTCATGTATAAAGGTTTCTTATGAACAGTCGAAATCTCCGACTTCTTTATTATATCATACATGTTCTTCTTAATGAAAGCGCCGGGGTAGCCGATCTCGGTCACATATATATAGATATATATAAATAAATATATGAGACAGCTCAATTCATAATATTTAACTGATATAACTCATTTTAAAGGTGTGTTTAGTTCAGCTTTAACTGAATCGTTTACTATTCATTTTGTGACCGAATTCAAAAATAAGATGCTGACTGAATAATGGTACTCACTGGGCGTTGAGCTATGTTATTCATTGGCTAAATCAGAATATACAAGCCACTTAATAAACGAATGATAGCATGTTCACTAGAAAACATGAAAGTTCTGTATTTATACTAATGTGTAATTGAAAAATTATACAAATTGAATGATCCCGTAAAGTCCATAAAAATAGTTTTTCAATGTTTCTATATTAACATTTATTGAAGCCCCTCTGAGGCTACTGCCAATTCCAAGCTGGAATAAAGAAGAGTTTGATATGCGGTTAGTGACCTTATCCCGTAAAAAACTAACTCGATAAATAAATGCTAACCAGAAAAAAATTAATCCAAACCAATGTTTCTTATTAATTATAATCATCAATTAAATGAAATAATAAATTCACTTCACTCCAACTGAAGAATTCCTTAAATTCTAACAAACATTATAGTGTAAACCAGTTTTATATGTGCTTAATAAATGATTCATGTGAAATCCATTCTACTTATCATTTATGCATTCAGCAACATAAGCATTATCAGTAGAATCATCAAGTGTTTTATCAACTTATCGTTCCATTCAAGTTACTTTGTTTAAAACAACAACGAAAAAACAAACAAACATATTTTATAAACACTTAAACAATGAACTGATTAACCACTTTATAAATACAAGAACATTACTGCATTGTAAACAACATTATTCTCTAGAGTTAATCACAAAAGAGCAAACAATTTTCTAATGTGTAAAGTTTATGCGCAAAATTTACTAAACAATAAAACGGTTCTCTTCAAACTACTTATATAATGTAGGTAATTGGATTGAGTTATTTTTAGTAACTATCGATTTGTTTTGTAATCTACATTGGTAACGACAAAAATAGTGGGTTATTTAGGCCACATAATTATATTTGAGAATTATTGTAAAGATATCTAACCACAAGAATCGAAATTTAATTGAATAAATAAACGCGAAATTTATCTAAGGACAGTTATTAGCTGGTAAACAAATACACATACAGTACTTTAGATATAGTGTTATTTAATTTATCCCTATTAGATTCATGATGGTGTAATAATAATGATTAAATAGCGGGGACAAAATGATGTTGATGATGATGATTTGATTTTTGATTGTTTCACACAGAAAGTATACTGCTTGTGTTAGTCCCTCAAAGCAATTATCAACTTTCCCATATGAGCACTTCGTGCTTACTCACAACACACATTACATTATATTTGTGATTATGTAGTTAAATATACTTCACCATGCAAATTATAAATATTACAGATCACCTACTGCTGATATTTCGATATATAGGACTTAGTACTATATTGATTTAGATAACTAGTGTGGCACATAAAACAATATCATTTCATTCAGTTGGTTTTGAACACAAGGACAAGAAAGTATAAGTTTCAGCAACTGCTGTCCCATGAAAATCATTTTTCAGTTTACAATAAAAATAAAATCACTGAAAATTTATTTCGATATTGTTATATTCTATAAAACTAGACACAAACATTTGGTCGCTCAGTTTATCATGTACATCAAAGAAGCCAGAACATATATGTATCGATCCACGTTTCTACACCATCTCAGCACTGCAGATGAAATCGTCTTAACAAAACTCAGAGCAGTACAAGCAATAACAGTAACACTGGAACTAGGAACATTAGGCATAGACAGTATGACCATAAAAGAAAAGACCGATTAGCGAAATCAACAAAGATAGGTTTGAAAAGTAGGGGCTGAGGAGAGGTAATAAGTGAATGCATCCATACCATCCAAACAGATTCTGAGTCATACCACCCCACCCCACCCATTGGTTACGATAACCACAGCCACGTAATCAGGATCTACCAAGATGGCACAATCCAACAGTCATCGACTGATGTCATGCTTTGTCTGGCCAGCCCTAGATTTCTCCCAATATACCCCCACACCAGACGAAACTGTCTGTTGAAGTTGGCAGGGGTTGGGTATACGTAATACATGTCTCAACCGATGAATATTAACAGTAAATGGAAGTATAATAGTCAGTTCATTTCTGTATTGGTTGTTTGAATCTTCCCTCTGATGTTTAGAACTCCAGTTAATCAGCCTCTTATTGGCATATGTGAATCCTGTGCGAGATGCCTCGATATTGCCTTCAGTCACAACCACCATAAGCACAGATCGATAGTGGCTAGCAGTGGAATCCAAGATGAGCGTTTCGTCCTATTTGGGACTCGTCAGATGCATCCAGAGTTTGTTGCTCACTCCAGGAGAGTTATTTATCAATACAATTTACTTGAATGACAGTAAAATATTATTTCCATTTTCAACTGTTAGTTAATCTGGATAGAATCATGAAAAGCAGTGGCCACAACCAACATTGAACTAACTGTTTATTCATCTAGTTAATTTTAAAACAGCCAACCTTGTTGATAGGCTGAAGTTATAAGGTCAAACAAAGCGAAATAATAATACTATCGCAAGCTGATTGGTAGATAGACTGACTGATATGTGTATATAAGATACACATATTTGTATGATTTCTTTCACAAGGTTCATATCACATTTAGGAATTCCTCATCATGAAACAGGTTTAAATATTGCCATCGATACACCTAACATGTGTTGTATTACTTTTAAAATGCCCCACTCAATACTTCTTGTTCAATATATACTTCTATGTAGTATCACTTTAGTGTATACTATTCCGATGCTTACATTGGTTAATAACAATCACACTGGTATAAAATATCCAATCATTTTAATTCCTGGTATGGGTGGTAGTCAAGCATATTGCAAACCTAAGGATGTGGGCAGTTCTTTTGCTCCATTTAATCTCTGGATCAACTTTTTTCACATATTATTACCTAACAAAGTATTCGATTACTTCAGGTAAACAGCAAATTCATATTTATCAATCTGTTTCAAGATTACAACATGATCCATACACCTATGAGTCACATGATTCAAATGAATGTGATGTAACATTTCCCGGATGGGGTGATACATGGTCTGTGGAATATCTATCACAATATATATCTTTTGAGTACTTCGGTTCACTTGTGTCAGAACTGATGAAAGACAAATTTTATGTGAGAAACTTCACAATGCGTGGAGCTCCATATGACTTTAGAAAATCACCAGGTAAGTGAGTACATGTAAGGGTGTTATTTTTTAGTTTTAGCAAAAGATTATGAAATATGATATTGAATAGATCTTCAGTGTTTGTCGAGCAGTAACATGAAGAAACACTAATTTGAAAATATAATTAACCGAAATTCCTCTGAAAGCAAAGATTGAAAGTTTTCATCTGTCGTGAGCTTTCAGTAATAATTACACACATAAGAAATATTATAAAGCATGATCAAATAACTTTCTAGATACGTAACAAATTAGATTACAACGACAATTTTATTGTTTCATAAAAAATCTGTACTCTGGGGGTGACTTTACGATACATATTTTTTTATATTGCTTTGTTAAGTAGAATATTCCATACAGATAAACCGAATTAATAGTTAGCGTAGATGAATAATGTTAAGTGTGGAAATTAATCGAACAGTGAAATATACATCAACTATTAAAACACTTCATTATTTGATGCTTTAGTGACAGATCTTTCATAATAAAATAATCTTCATGGATGCGCACTTCTGAGGAGTCCCACAGTAGGACGAAACGGCCGTCTAGTGCTTCCACGTTTTCCATGGTGGTCTAGCTTCAATTGACCCATGATCTCAATGATTGAGAATAATCTTCCATTTGAATTACACATTTTGTATACAATTTTGTGGAAGAAGTATGTTTTAAATTTACATTTCAAGAGGACTGCTTCCGGATAAAAAATCTCATATCACCTGCCAAGTCGAGAATCCCATATATGAGTTATTTTCAAGATTTTATTCGTCTCATTAGTTTAAAATTTGGTCATGAAACATCGATCTACTCAGAACTAATTTTGTGCTCCTGTGGCACCCTACCATATTAAACCCTGAAATTTTAGAATATTAACTGAGTGCGATAAAATCGACAGTTCTCATTATCTATGTGGTATCTAAACCTAAAATAATATGTCGATTGATTTATCTCTAACCCTGACAATTAATTGAATTCGTTTCAAGATAATTCAATATGGTGCTCAAAATTTACATGTGATTTTATGGAAATTTTGTAGCAGTAGAAAGTCATTTTTGTTACTATGATCTAATTTGTGTAAAAAGGATGAACACCTGACCGATGCTCTTTATTTTCGATTGGTTTTCCAAATCATATCAGTAATCAATGTGGTAAGTTTACTAACTAATGATTCCTTTATACCAAATTAAGCGTTTATTACGAATTCTAAATATAATACGTCCAGCCTGCCATAAATTGTATTCTTTCGGGAATTTCTAGTTAGCACATTAATTGGAATACTTTTAATTATCATATTGGTGTCGCGATGGAGACTGTGATTGCACAGTTTCATACACATTCAAATTCAGAAATCTGGAATATAAATAAGAATGTCGAACATGATCAAATTGTGGTTCATTTCCTTACCTTCGTCGGAAAGGATGCGGACTGCCTACTGAAACATTTACCATTTCCGGATAAACCTATTTCACTCAGATTAAGGGCCATCTATCCTAGGTCTAGAAAATTTAACAATTTTTCAGGGACAACCTCCCAAGTTGATCACTGAAGACTGTTCTAATGCAATGTTTAATAACTTGTTGACTACAGAATCGAAGTGTGAAGAGTTCCACACAACCCTAAGACATTCCTATTCTGATGTTCAGACAGAAAATGTCAAGCTCTTGGAAACGACAATTATTCATATATCCGCTGTGAAATTCAAAAACCCGAACAGAGAAGTAGATCAAGTTTTTCAGTACATAATTGCCAGACCGTACGTAAAAGAAACGACAATGAAATTTCTTAAACAATAAACGTTCATCAAAATATAGAAAGTTTACAGTCTGCCAATGTTAAATGCTGTGGAGGTCTTCTAAGAAAGGTTGGTAAATTCATGATTCGTATGCAAAGCCAGTCACAACAACCATATACGTTACAAGAACTCAGGTGGGTCCGTTCCGATTTCCGTTATTAATTTCAATACTAAAGAGTACATTCAAGATTATACAGAGTGTACACCCAATCCAAAGCCTGACAGACATATGATTGACCTAAGCAGGTGTACAACGGATTAGAGAAATCTGGATCCCCTTTTAAGCTATGGCGTTTGTGATATTTGTATTAACTGATGATACCTTTGTACTTAATTGGGAGTTTATTACGAATCCTAAATTTAATACGTCTAGTTGTGTTCATCTAGTTTAGCCTGCTTTAAATTGCACTATTTCTAGAATTTCTAGTCAGCAAATAAATATGAATACTTCTAATTATCACATTAACATTCAAACTTGATGTTTATTAATATTTAAATAATTTGCTTTCTGAGCATCAATCCAATTGTTAGTTTCTTCGTATTTGTGTTATCTCTCTCTTTCAGATGATAACAAACAATTTGTAATGAAATTCAAACATTTAGTAGAAGAAACTTATACAAATGGATTGAATCGACCAGTTGTTCTATTAGGCCACAGTTTGGGTAGTCTGTACACACTATACTTTCTCAAAAATCAAACTAAACATTGGAAACAAAAGTATATTAAATCATTCCTATCTGTATCAGCACCACTTGGTGGAACAGTTAATGCACTTATATCCGTAACTAGTGGTAAATTCAAATCTGTTTAAAGCATTTGGTTCACATTTATTCTAATTTAGTGTTTATATATATATATATATATATATATATATATATATATATATATATATATATATATATATATATATATATATATATATATATATATATATATATATATATATATATATATATATATATATATATATGAGGGTGCATTTCGTTTATTAAAATCATTCGACCTTTCGAAAGGTTTCCTGACAGACTTAAACTTATGCTAACATTGTGTATATAATGTAACTTTGAAGAACAATTCGTACCGATAACAAAATTCTTGTGAACTTTTATTGGTACCTTTATTGTTCACAAATTTAAATAGTTTACGTATCGAGTTCAATCGATTTCTTTGCTTCCATATATTCAAGCACAAATATTTCCTGTTTTAATTGAAGGTGACAATTTTGACGTATTTATTCAAAATCCATCACTATATCGAGATGTGATCCGTACAATGACATCAATAATTGCTGTACTACCAAATCCTAAACTATGGTCTAAAGATGAGATTTTAATTGTTACACCGTTTAAAAATTACACAGTTCACGATTATCCAGAATACTTCAGTGATTCCAATTATCTTACAGGTACTTATATACAAACACATATGCCTGTTATATTGTGATGTTATAAATTTATTGTTTATTGCCTTATTGCTTCTGGTTTAAGAATGAATATTAAGAGACAGTCCGAGTAGTTTTAATGCTTCCAGTTTCATGTATTGGTTAGCAGATACGAGTTAATGAACCGGTCAAAATTCGGATCTAATACAGAATTCTTTTAATAATCATTTACTAATAGCAACTGACATAATAACTTTACCATAACAGATCTCCATCTTTTAATAGACGATCAGTGTTACTGTGTACCAGTTTTCTTTATATTCCTTAACGGCTGTGAAACACGGGATCTACAAATACCCGGAAGAACTTTGTAGGCTGCAGGTATAAGTTTCTTCAAAGTATCGTCTGAGTTAAATGAAACCATTAAGTGAGTACTGCTGAGGTTAGACATAGAGATAGTGACGCTTCTATATTCTGTGTGAGAACAAGATGCAACCCATTAACATAATATTCTCGTTCTTAACACTCCGATTGCGTATCATTTTCAAAGTTATGTTAGCTTCATCTGCTCCCATGATTTAAATATTTTCACCATTGCGTTCTTTTATGTTTGAAATCAAGGAATATGTACGTAGTCGGGAATACATATACAGTTGACAAATAAATCATGGAGTTCGCGATACCATAAAGATGTTAAATACATTGGAAATTCAAACTTACTAGGTTGTGGATCATTACTGACTGAGATGATTTGAGTATTGCCTATTCACACCTAAACAATTCCAACCCCTAACGATATTGCTGAAAAGTATAGAGGTTTAGAAGAATATTATGGGTGGACAGTTCAATGGATAAACCCTGCGACTATTTGTCTAAATCATGTTCGAAGTTATGATCCTATGGTGGCAGATGTTGCATGATATTGATCGCAATAACACAGTAGTAATCATTGTGTACTTCTATAAATTATGAGTTCGATGTCATTCCATATTATTCAATCTCCCATCTGGTGTATTTCTTTTTTGAAATATTTTCCTCAGTAAGTTTAGCATGTCATAAAATTTGACAATAGAAATCATGCTCTTCGTTTCATTATATCAATATCCCCCATTGTGGTTATCTCAGAGGTGTACCATTTATAATGTATGATTAATATTCGGGATACACATTGATTTGATCACAGAATATTACTTACAATAATTCGAAGAGATAAAACATCGTTTAACAGTAATTAGTGCAAATTCATTTTAGTCTAAATTACAAACATAACTAAGTACTAGAATGACTACACCAAATAACTGAATGCTAAATAATATTCAGCTCCAAAAATATTTCCCTGTCAACAAACTGTTTGTCTATAGAAGTCTAAAACAGAATTGCACTGTTTGCTAAAGTATCTGTTTAATTCTATACAGTTGAGTTGTATTTCATTTCATTGTTTCAAAAGCTTTCTATCCATAAACCATACGACTAATTTGTAGTGAAGTCGGAATACTACTAAATACGAACAAATAACCATAAATTTGCATGTTAGGTATAATAGCATTATCCCAGTATATTATTATACAAACTAAAGCAAAAATTGGTATAGAGCAGTAATTATTTGGTACCAATTAAGCAAACAAGCGCTACATCACTAAGTCACAGAGTAAGGATCCGACTGTAACTGTTTACAGCTACTGAGAAGTATGCTACTTATGTCGGTATAAGTAGTTAGTAAAACCAGTCAAAAGTGGAATGCCTGACAGCGGAAGGTTGAGAAGATCGAATGGAAGAGAACGGGAACAGAAAGTAATTGTTGTGGCATTGAAAGAATGATGAATTTCGAGACAATTGATGGAAGATGTGCTAATGAGTCAGTTATCCATAGTATCGAATGATGATAAAGTTGCGAAGTGACTAGAGAAGTAATTATAAACTTGAGTTTGAAAAAAAAAGTTAATTACAGTGTGCCCATTTAGAGCCATACAAACTAAGATCAAGTTTAAAACCATGAAATTTATATACTTGTTGAGTTGACCTTAAAATCTGCTTTTAGAAAAGTTCCCTACGGTGACTTGGTTTTCATTATATAGTGTGATTTAAACTTCGTGATCATGTAAGAAATATATCTATCCTTACTTGATTTTTACTTTAATATTACTGATGAATAAAACAGCTCTAAACATATATTTCAACTAATGAATTCAAAATCATTATTAAACTGAATTTTATCCGAAATCAGTTAAAATCACTGTTTTAAATTATTGCTAAACACTGAAATTGAACTTCATTAAAAATAATCTACTTAATCCTGTACATTCTAGGTTATAAATTATTCACACGTTACCTATCTGCATTCGACCCACTCGAAGCTCCCGAACATGTACCTGAAGTCTATTGTATCTATGGTTCTGGACTATTATCAGTGGAACAAGTCATTTACAAATCACCTAGTCTCTTCATTTCAGCATTTCCAAATCAATCACCCAGAATTATATATGGGGATGGCGATGGTACAGTGAATCTACGCAGTTTAAAAGTTTGTACAAAATGGCCCACAGCTAAAGTAGTTGAATTCATTACTTCTGAACATAGACAAATTTTGAGTGAAAGGCAATTTATTGATTTTGTGAAACAACATATGAATATCAAAACTTAATAGTATTATAACTATCATTATTATATCTACTGTTTATACTAATATGTTTATTATTAACAGTAAATCCTATATGACCAACTATTTTTATTGTTTTATTCAAACATATTGATTTTCATATCTTGAACAAGCACAAACAACAGTTGTGAGTTGGTGGAGAAGATTTGTAGCTCTCTGAGCTCAGCTCAGAGAACAAAACTTCATCAAAAACAGTTGTGAGTACATAGTGAAGTGGAAAATAATCAAAGTGTTTCTTATTTTCGTTTTTTCATACAACTAACAACAACAATACTGTTATTACTGAATTGGAGGAAAACTATTTAAAAGTGTATAACATAAATAAACTGTACGTGTGAAACATTAACGACTGTCCACTAATAACTTTAAACATAAATAGACATACGAAATTCACTTAATAACGTAATCATATCAATCAAGTGTAATTAATGTCTGTCAATTAAAAAAGGATAATGTAGCTACAATTATCCAAGTTTTATTGTAATAGGCATTTATTGTAACTAAAAAACGACTGGCCAATTCACAATAATCCAAGACAATCATTGGCTAAACATGTTTAGTGATATGATTTTAGACAGTTGAGATCATGAGTCAATTTAAGCTAGACTATCACGGAAAACCTGGAAGCACTGGACGGCTGTTTCAACCTATTGTGGGACTCCCCAGCAATGCGCATCCACGACCCCGCCTCGCGGGATTCGAACCCACAACCTATCAGTCTCGCGCCAGGCGCTTAACCAACTAAACCACTGAGCCGGCATCCAGCGGTGTTAATGACTAACTTCAACTAATCCATGAAATTGAGCGACTTGATGTATTCACACATACTAACTCTATACAGTTCTTGATGATATTCAGATTTGTTTGCACATAATGTACTGCGTTTATAGTACTAATCCACAATGACAAAAGGATAGAAGTGCTATCGTTACTTGTTTCGTTTTTAATCATCGAAAATACTTGGAATATGAATAACTATCACACTTATCTTAATAATTAGCGATGTTGGTCACGATGATACAAGTCTATTAATTCTATCTTTCCTTAGATCTGGAGTTTTGGAATTTATCCCAAACTTTTCTATTACGCGAATTTATTCAGTCTTCTTGAAACATATGGTTTATGTCCAATCTTTACTACTACCACTGAAGCTGTTATCGTTTCTACCATAGCATTTGTCTTGATATTCTTATTTGGCTGTGCTGATATGGCGTAGTAGGTTAATCAATGCACATGTGAGCCATGTTCTACGTTTCATGTGACGGACTATCAATTTTCATTCAGTGTTTGTGTATCAATCATAAATATAGCTTTCAACTAAAGTCATATATTTGTAAATTTTAAATTTGATTCTGATTTGAAACATAAAGGTGGGATTCTTGTTATTATTCGTACTTTAAATACAACAATAATCATGCTGCTTACGTAACGCTAACTTATATTTTGCTACTAGTTAGAAAGATGGTAGTAAGAAAAGACATAATTCAACGGCGAATACACCAAGGAAGAGAAAATTTTCTTTGAAAACTGACATTCAATATTATACATAACTAATCCAAACTCACTTTTTAATAATATAACTTAACTGAATCATAATAATAAGTAAATTTAACTTGATGGTCAAGCTGTTAGCTACGATCAACACCATTATACCAAAACGTTTACTCAAACAGCAGTCAAAGTGATCTGAAATTCTGTTAGGTGTATGTGTGTGATTGTCACTTGCTGTTTGACTACATCATAGAAGACTACTTCTTAAGGGACCTTAAAAAAAGGATTGGTATTGATCTTAGTGATCTCGCAGTGTGGTCATAGTGAACAAAAAGGCAACTGATTGACTCCAGTAATACACAGACTTTATGGTAGAAGTTATATGATATAATAACTAGGTATTTTTAACGTCTTACAGCCTGCGATGGAAATTTGCGGATTAAAAAAGAGGTGTTACTTTCAGAGCATCATGATATGAGAACCCGACAACTATGTCAAGGTAGCAGGTACGACCGCGACTCATAAAGCAATCAACATAAAATCACCTGAAAAGAAATGGTACAGTACAGTTTTAAGAGAAAAAACTAGAAGGTAAGGAAATGAATCTTAAGTATGTTTAACTTCACAAGGATTATTCAATTCAATTGTAAAGTTAATAGAAATTACGACTCCATGTAGTTTGATTAGAAAAATAAAATATATTCACATATATTGACAAAAATAAATCAACTACTAACAATCCATCATTAGTGATAATAATAATAATAAATATAAATATAACGAATACAAGCGGAATAATATGCATTACAATACTACAACTTCACTCAAAATTGACATAATTAAATGTAAAATCCAGAAAAGAGCACCGTTTTCTCTCGAGTAAAAATGACAAAATTCCATCAATAAAGGGACTGTACAATTATATATATATATATATATATATATATATATATATATATATATATATATATATATATATATATATATATATATATATATATATATATATATATATATATATGGGAAATCGGCTCATCATGAAAGGAAGATAGAGAAGAGTTAATCAAAAAATTAACATACAGCCACCGGATGATACATCATTAATAAGTACAAATAATAAATGGAGTATTGATTAATGGAAATCCATAATGTGTTGCATAACATCACTTCGTAATTTACTGTGAAATTCACACATTGGACAAATAACATCCTCATCCTCACCATTACCGACATTATCATGTTCAATAGTATTCAGTCCTTTGTTCAGCTCATCTCGTTTATCATCAGTGTTGTTGTCGTCGTCGTTATTATCGTCTATGATGGTGATTTGATCAGTTATTTGATTATTTAAACTGCTAGTTGCCATGGTAACAGCCGATGTCTCAGTATTATTATTTATAGCTGTGGTACTGAGTAACTTTCCAAATTTAAGCTGTTCACCGGTAATCCATTTAACAAATCTATTTAAACTCAATTTAGATTCATTAGAATGCTTTGACATTGATAATGTTGATGAATTGATAACGTCACAAACACTACCACCACTGGCACTATCATCATGAACATCAATGAATTTCGCTGAAGATGAAGATGGTGAACTTGTAGTAATGCTCAATCGAATAGGTTGATTGCTTAACGTAGAAGTAATAATTGTAGTAGTAGTCGTTACTGATGTCGATGTTGTCGTGAGAAAGTCAGAAGTGTTAGATATAACAAGTTGTTTTGTATTATTATTATTATTATTATTATTATTATTATTATTATTATTATTATTATTATTATTATTATTATTATTGTTATTATTATTATTATTTGAATTCTCTTTCAGCATTTCATTAGCATGAGCTGTTTTCTTATGTGTATTGAGATCGTCAACAGTTAAACAAAATACTGGACATAAATCGCACCCATGAAACTATATAAAATAAAACATTTCAATAAAGATAAATAAACAATTAGAATATATGGAGGTAGATGTATTAAGAGAATGTTTCGCATAGATTCATACAATCAAACTACTTTTATTCTATTTTGCAACTATTATTTGTAATATTAATTGTAAATAACAACGACCTTCAGAAAATTGGTGAACAGAAAATATACGATCACATAGTTATAACTATTCTGTCTGGAATTAAACAAAATACATCATCTAACACAACAATTTCTCATAAATTATTACAGAGATGAAATCACTATAAAAGGTAAACAAATGTATTGAATAAAATCTAGTCTGAAAGATTATCGAAAAAACCACATTATTAAATACAAACAATGTTCAAATGTTTACATAATCACATATCATGGTGAAATATTGTACTCAGATATATTTATCTGTTCAAAGACTGAGAATTTCAAATTACAATGGTTCATTTTACATGTAAAATTATGGTATAGGAACGAGCTAATCAAAACCGAAAAACGACTTTTAAGTCCTATAAGCAGAAATGATAATGGCTTGCAGGCAGTGGGTCTCTCTTTGTGGGTCATTTCTGCTTATAATGCTAGTGACTGAAGGCAATATCGAAGTGATCCGTACAGGATGCACATATGCCAATAACAGACTGATCAATTGCAGTTTTAAACATCAATGGGAGAATCCAGACAACCAACACAGAAATGAGTAAACTTTCGAGTCTTCATATAAAGATTTAAGAACAAATAACTTCTATCTTATATCACATAGAGGGAGCGGTAGTTTTACCTTTGTGTAATTGTTCCCAAAACATTAAAAGCTAGAACGAAAAGTTACTTTAGTCATCATTAGGGAAAATTATAGCTTTAAAAGTTAAAAATATTTAAGTCTTTTTATTTAGATGGTAAATTAAAACACGAATTTCAGCGAAGGGATCTCTTTTCAACGAATTTATTATCAAGCTGTACAATCGTATATATATGAAAATTTTTTTTGTTTTTGTAAAAGTACTAATTCCGTGAGGAAATGTGAACAGAGTTAATAAAAAAGGTTATAATACTAGATTACGTAATATGAATAATAACAATAACAATAGATTTAGTGATTATAATAAGATGATTAAAATGTTTTTTATCAGAATGGGTTTTGTGGAGATTTTAGAAATTTCACAGATTGAAATCATGAGTCAGTTGAAGCTAGACCACCATTGAAAACCTGGAAGCACTGGACGGCCGTTTCGTCCTAGCATGGGACTCCTCAGCAGTGCGCATCCACGATCCCGCACCACGCGGGGCTCGAACCCAGGACCTACTGGCTTCGCGCGCGAGCACTTAACCACTAGACCACTGAGCCGGCATCCAACGGTGTTAATGTCTAACTTCAACCAATCCACGAAGTTGCGCCACCGTACACCATTGTCTTCAGTGAGTTACTATCTCACAACAGACCGGTTGAACTCCACTGGTAACGGCTTCTCACTAGAACTTCAGGAGTTTTTCCTGAAGTCAGTCACAAAACCCATTCTGATAATAATAATAATCAACTGCTCACTAGTGACTGACTTCAGGAAAAACTCCTGAAGTTCTAGTGAGAAGCCGTTACCAGTGGAGTTCAACCAGGTCTGTTGTCAGATAGTAACTCACTGAAGACAATGGTGTACGGTGGCGCAACTTCGTGGATTGGTTGAAGTTAGACATTAACACCGTTGGATGCCGGCTCAGTGGTCTAGTGGTTAAGTGCTCGCGCGCGAAGCCAGTAGGTCCTGGGTTCGAGCCCCGCGTGGTGCGGGATCGTGGATGCGCACTGCTGAGGAGTCCCATGCTAGGACGAAACGGCCGTCCAGTGCTTCCAGGTTTTCAATGGTGGTCTAGCTTCAACTGACTCATGATTTCAATCTGTAAAATGTTTTTGTTATAATAATTAAAGGTCATAGAGGTGTACAAAAATAAACTGATATGATGAGCGTTCATGAATAAAACAATGAGAATATAAGACATAAGTAAAGGTGAGAATGCAGTAATTGTAATAATAATAATAATAATAATAATAATAATAATAATAATAATAATAATAATAATAATAATAATAATAATAATAATAATAATAATAATAATAATAATAATATTAATGGTAGGATAATCAAACTAATTAAGGCCAAGGTAACGATAACGATAAGACGTACTTCTTTTGTACGCATAGTTCTGGTTTAAGCTCCTGGATGGCAAGAGCTTCGGCTATTTTTTAAAGTTGTATACGAAGAAATCTGGGTAGATTTGAACGAATCATATAAACAACCTTAAAATCAATTTGTGGATCTGTTGAATGGTTATAGTCAATTAGGTGTTCAAGAATAGAACTCCTAACTGCTTTCCTTTCACCCTTATAGAACCAGGTTGGGATATGTTCTCGTATCCGAGTTGAAAGCGAGCGCTGGCTACGGCCAATGTACCTTGCTCCACAAGAGCAGGTGAACTGGTAGATGCACATGGAGGCGACCAGACGCGGAAGCTTATCTTTTATGGATACAGAAAATAAGTTTCTACTAGTGAAGGATATTCGCAGTTTTGCCGCGTTAAATGTTCTCCTAATAGTTGTTGTTAGACGGTTTTTGATTACGTCCGATGTTCGGTCACCTTTAAATTCCAGACTTATATAAAGGTTTTCCTTTGGAACGGAACAACTAGGATTCTTCTCGCGACTACTTTTATTCATATTCTTTTCTATGAACCGTTCTGGGTAACCATTTTCCGTCAAAGTCTTCTTCAGGAATGCGAGTTCTTCGTTAATGCATTCCGTACTGCATATCTGACGTATTCGATAACATATAGAGTGGATGAAATTTCTCTTTCTACTTAACGGAACCCAGCTATAGAAGTTGGTTATCTGTCCATTCCATGTTTGTTTTCTAAAGATGGATCTTTTTAAAGAACTATTACTCCTTCTCTTCAGAAGTACATCGAGCAAAGGGATTGATTGGTCCCGTTCCCTTTCTAACTTGAAGTCTATAGAAGGGTGGCATGAGTTAAAGGTGTTCAAAATATTTTCTAAATCAATATTATTGTCACAAACGATAAACGTGTCGTCCATATATCTGACGTATAGATGAAATTGACTGATCATTGAGCTTAGTTGGTCGTTTTCTAGTTTTGCCATAAAACAATCTGCTAAAATCGGACCCAATGGAGACCCCATTGCGATCCCATCCCTCTGTCTATATATTTCATTATTGAAACTAAACTGGACATTAAAAGTACAGCGTAACAATAGTTCTTTCAAGTGTTCAGTCGGCAAACCTAGATCTATGTTGTTGGAATCAATATACTCGCATATTTAACATATCGTTTCGGTTAAATGTACGCTAGTGAACAAGGAGTTAACGTCAAGCGATAACATGTGTTTTCCGGAAGTATTAACGTCCTTAATACGATCACTAAATTGAAAAGTATCATGAATAGAAAATTTAGATACTTGCCTTATAACCAGTTCCAATATTTCCGCTAGCCATTTGGCGATTCTGTGGTATGGTGAATCTGACATATCCAAAATAGGTCGTAACGGTAAACCCGGCTTATGTACTTTCGGTAGTCCGTATAAGCGCGGGATGATTGAACCCATGGGACGTATGTGATTATATAAATCTTGGGTTATTACCCCTTATTCTTAAGAATTTTAACAACATCTGTTAGCTGTTTTTCGATTTGCAATGTTTTATCAACTTCTTTAAGTTTGGAGAATTTAGTACCATCCTCTAGAATTAATTTCATTTTATCCAAATATTCTTGGCGATCAAGTAGTACTACACTAGCTCCTTTGTCAGGTTTACTTAGGATTAAATCCTTATTTCTTTTCAACAGTATTAGCTGATCCAAGTGGTTCTTAGTTAATAGGTTATTCATACTACATTGTGCTTTAACGTATCCATGACTGCAGTCCACTAATGTGGATTTAAAGTGCTGAAAATTTTCTGGTGATGTTGGCACAAGATCATGAGTTTGATTTGATAGGTTTTCGAATTGTATTTGTGTATGAAGTCTACTCGTTTTGGAGGTGCTGTTACAGAACTTCGGACCCAATGATAAGGCCTGTATTTGGACTGGTGAAAGTTTAATAGAAGAATGATTAAATCCATACTTTTCTGGATGTTCTGAAAACTTCTTAATCACGTCTACGTGTTGCAATGTTTCCAAGTGTTTACGTTTAGCTTTTTGTGACTGTTTTTCCGTAACATTAGTAACATAGTCCACAAATTGTTTGCGTTCATCTAACGACAATTCAAACAAGGCGTGACTTCTGAGAGATATGTTGCGATCTAGTTCGACTTTTCGAGTTTTGATAGCATCGATATAATTGAGTGCATGACGTTTGAGTGTTTTTGCATTGGGATGAATATGGTTTCGCCTTAATGCCTTCCAGAAACGTTTAGGATAGTCATTATTTTCGATACAGCTTTCAAGAAAATTGATCTCACATTTCACTAACGCAAGCTTGACGGTGTAACGTAAGAACTCATTAAGCCCTTTCATCGTCATAAGGTCCTTGCATTTCTTCAATTGACAGATAGTTCCCATTTAAACATTAAAATTAAAACACGAATTTCAGCGAAGGGATCTCTTTTCAACGTAATCTAGTATTAGAACCTTTTTATTAACTGTGTTCACATTTCCTCACGGAATTAGTACTTTTACAAAAACAAAAAAAAATTTTCATATATATACGATTGTACAGCTTGATAATAAATTCGTTGAAAAGAGATCCCTTCGCTGAAATTCGTGTTTTAATTTTAATGTTTAAATGGGAATTATCTGTCAATAGATGGTAAATCACACGTAAATTAACCCAAACCCTTAATGCTAATCGTAAACACGAACCAGGAACAATGTAGGAACTCCTAAAAACCATTTTGAACCTTAAAAGGGTTTTTAAAAGGAGGATGTTTTAAGGCAATATAGAAAAATCTACCACTCTTCTTCGATTTACAGGTATATAGATTCGTAGTAGACTTTAATAAATTTTTTAATTAGGTAAAATCTTTATATTTATTATTTTTTCCAATAACCATTGATTTACAAGAACTTTTCAGAATGTCTATCAACGAGGTAAAATTTATCACAGTTATTTCAATAATCGCTAAAGCTCTTCCTTATGCTAAAATGCGCATCATTTTAGACAGAAACTCGATAACAACAAAGTAAGTGATTCTACAGGATTTTCTAAATTCTTGTACTGAAACGGCAACAACAAATTAGGATGACATTTATCTAGTCTCTCAAAACCTTCAATTCAAACTAATCTTTAACATTAAAGTGGGTTTTATGAAAAGAATACAGCTTAAAGAAAAAAAGAGATCTAGGATCGATAGAAACTATGATAATTTAGGGTATCACTCAGGTAAAATCATTAAAATGTAGAGATAAAATCAATTATTCGAAACCAAAATTGAACCAGTTTAAAATATTTAATACGTAACTCTTTATCAGATGAATTTACAGCCGAATTTTCGCAGCGATTATAGGTTTATTGATGACGAATGAATACCACATTGAAGTTTATAACTAGTGCTCGATTGTATGGGGTGGATAGATAACTTAAAATTAGCAGAAATGGTTCGAAATAGTAGCAATCGGCAGGTGACAGCATAATTAATTTTAAGTTATGTAAACAGTAGGAAGTAACAACACGCCTTAAAAAACTAACCTGGGATAAGTGACCAATAGCACAGCGTTGGCTACCCTGTTTTAAAGGACTGGCAATAATTTTTGCTGCAGTAACTGTACTTAAGGATGATGACGGTGATAATGTCGTTGGTGTTGTTGTTATTGAAGTAGAAGTATTAGTTGCGCCAATTGATTGCGGTTTAACAATTCGATAAAATTTATTTTTTGCAGAAATGTGATTTAGTTCCGATTCCTTGTTATGACTACTGCAATAGTGTTTCCATAATGAAATTGCTCGTTCACATGCATATAGACATAGAGGACACCAGTACTGATGACTAGCCTAAAATACCAATTTATAAAATGCATTTCTATATCACAGCATTTATCATATAGTTATACTAAAATACATTGAAATCTCATTTTGGAAAGGTATAATCATGAATATTTAGAACGATAGGATTTCCTATTCGTGACACGAGGTTCCAACTGTTGGCATCCAAAATGACAATATTTCCAAGCGGCAGTTTGAATTCAATTTTCTGGGTACTAATTTCATCTGAGTAGTGTTAACACTACTAAGCATATGCCTTTTTATCCAATTTAGAAAAAGACCCGGAGAATCACTGACTGACATGGTATAATATTGTAAGGTTTCTATCAATTACGCAGGAAATGTCAATTATCATTAACTAAGATTGAGAACTTTTTCAGTTGATCACAAATTTAATAATCTTGACCAAACTATTGGATAAACACAGCCATGTATACGAAACATATGAATGGTCGGGAAATATTTCTAACCTATTTGTTTTCAGGTATTAATTTATTCAAACACGTATGATGTGTGACCATATGAATTTAAGTGAGATTAAACCAGTATCCTGTTCTCAGTCACTTGTATGTGTACATATGCATTAAAATTTGAACTGACTTATTCACCGGGTACTCGGGTATGAGCCACACTCTAAATATGAGGGCTAATTATACTATCCAGTTACTCAAACACAAGTAGGTCGAAAGGGGTCTGAACCTGGGATTTAGTGAGCTAAAATCAAACATTTCAACCACTGAGTGACCGCTCTATTGGAAAGATAAGGTGAGTCTATTTTAGCGCCAGATAATTTGAATGCACTACAAAGATCTAGCAACTCAGTAGAATGATCAGGCCCAGCCGAGAATACAATCAGAACAAATGTGTAAACAATGGCTATGCAACGATGGACAATAGCAAATCAAATCCCGGGTCAATAGTACAAACTGTAAAGAAATTATAATACCTCACTTATTTTTCAAGTGTGTACTGCTAGTGTTGTTGACTAGATGGCAACGAAGACATAACAACGAAATCATACAACTCACAGAACACATCTCCGTGAAATGAATAGCTTCAGAAGCCTCTCTTCCCAGTTATTTTTAAAACTTCTGAAGATCAAAAGCGAATGAATTAATTTATACTCTTAACCTTTTAATAACCTAGCGTCTTTATTCATTAACAATTAATTTCATTACATGTTTTCGTATTCATAGCAAATGTTGGACGTATAGATTTTTCTTAATATTTCATTTCTGAAACCATATCCAAATTAGTGTTCCATAATAGTTTGTAATAGTCGTCAGTTCATTTGTTGATATTAAGTAATAGTAATAATAATGTTAGTATAACAGCATTAAACTGATGAATATATCAACGCAACCGTCTGTAATCTAAATAGATCGTTTCTGCCTAATTTTTTCAACTGTCCTGTCTTCAAACTACCGAAGATCGAGTGGGTTCGTGTGAGGGTGAAAAGACGATCTGCAATGACAATATATGAGTGGATGAAACAGAGAGTCCTCACCTCGCCCACTATCTTTTTTTTGAGTTTCAGGAACTGTCATTGATTAACAAGAAACTAGATAAATTGAGTTCACACTAGCAACAATCACCAAAAAAAATTAAAACACAAAACATTGAAATTGTGTTACGATCAAAATTGGAGTCTAGTTGAGTTGTAATTTAACTACATGAGAGCTATGGGGAACAGAGGATTAAATATGAACTATTTATTTATTTATTCGTACATATAAACGTTAGTAGAAGGGGGCGCTAAATACAAATAAACGAAAGTTGTGTAGTAAATATGACAGTAAAACGAAAGTTTTTTAAATAAAATTCAAATTTATCTACTCTGTCACATAAACGTTCACATGCTAAAGTAAAAAAAAAGAATAAAATGAGAAATGTAGAACCTTATGATTTGTTATAGAATAGTAAAAGATAAAACGTAAGTGGGACGATATAAATACATAAAAAATAATTATTGAATGACAAAATGATAAGAATTTAACTGAAAGAGTAGATGTATAGTCAATAATATAATTGACTTTGAACCATATTTCATCCATGATGATTTCAAAGACATCGACGAATAAAATTAGACTTTGGTGGAGTTTTGTTCTCTGAGCTGGATGGTTTGGTTGTGAGGCTCTCATCGTTCCATTGAACGACATCATCAGCAAAAACTTTAAATAGGAGTGAAGTTTTTGAATTTCCCCACATATGACTCCCAGCTTGTCCTGTAGACCTCGATCTTGACTGGTTATTGTTGACCTTCAACCTGTCATTGTTTATTTCTTTATTTTGATGGTATCTCCCATTGATTTGATTCTTGGTCCCATATTTGTCCATAATTTTTTTTTATTGTTTGATATTGATGTCGTTCAGAAGAACGACGAGAGCTCCACGACCAAACCATCCAGCTCAGAGGACGAAACTCCACCAAAGTTATCTAATTGAGTTAAGAATCTTCACCATCTCAAAATTAGACTTTATCTTAAACGAAAACAGACAAAAAAACACTGTGACTTTTATGAATGGTTGAAACCTGCTGATATGATTATCAATCTTTGTATGCCTCTAAGTTTATCAGTATCAGTCCAGAAGTGTACAAATAAAAGTCTAACAATGTATTTCTGTTTGACAGACGTTTGAATATCTTGATCACAGCACAAATCCTCGAAGGTTTAAAAAACTTAGTTATGAGCACTTACTATCCATCAGATTTAATCTACCAGTTAATACAGTCAACACATAAGAAATAGAAGATATTATAGAAGTGAACTAACTTGTGATTAATATATAGTGGAATGTATATCAGTCAGTCGTAGGCAATATAGAACTTAGTACATTGGTTTAAGTTATAACACCATATAAACATAGTTAGATGAAACTATCAAAACAAATAGTAGGGTGACTGAAATAGAAATAGTATCAATAGTAGTAAAAAACGATTCGAAATAGATATTATGGTTGTAGAACAGAAGACTGATTTGTGAAATAAATAAGCACAAGATGAGTTTGAGACTCATCAACAAAGGGAAAACAAAGAACAAATGCATTTGTGCCATAGTGTGTGATTATTAACAGACCCCAGCCAAATTGTTTTCATCTAACATCATGGCTCAGTCCAACAGTCAATGACTTGATGGATTGAAACCAAGTCTTCGTTTGGTATATCTTAGCCTTCTTCCAACTTAGTACGCTAAAGCACTAAACATCGAACGTTGAGGTAGGCAGTGAGTGATCATAAAGAACAGACGTTTCAATCACATCAGCTGATATAATTAAGGATCTACAACACAAAAATTTAAAAACCCAATAACTACAATGAATAAATAAAGAAAAACTAACTTGAGCCATATGTAAATCTAAATGATTAATGGTAATAAAATGTGCATTACAAACTGAACATTTCCAACATGGTATTTCTTCGGGCTTTATATATACAGAAATATTATCCGGTAATGAATATGATACGGATACTGTTGACATGGATAATGATGAATATAATGTAGAAAGATTAATTAATTTTGAACTCATTGTTAAATTATTAAAATTTATTTTATTATTCCTTGTAGAACCATATTTGCATATATTATTATTTATTTCATCTGGTACAGTGAAAAAGTGTACAGTTTGTAAATGAATTATAAATGAAACCATATCCGAGAACACACGACAACACTGTGGACAATTATACACATCTTTATTCAACCGATAGGCGAAGTGTTGCTAAAGTACCAAAAGAATATAATAATAATAAATATCAGATAAATAATATGAATTATGTATACACAAATCCATACAAAACTATAAGATTTTCTGTGAAAACAACCGAAATAAAAAGTGAAAGTTAGTAACTCCAAAAAACAAGTAAACACCTAACAAAACGGTGGTATTCAAATATTTACCAATCAAACAATCGTATTTATAATCCAACTTTGAAAACTGTATCCTGAACCCAAATGTAAAACAAGTCGTAGCTCAACTTAGCTTTACAATTGACCAGGTCAGTCAGTCAGTAACAACGTAGAACTTCGTACGTACGTACATCAGTTTGAGTTGCCACACCACCTTAGCACAGAGATGCAGTTGTCGATTCAAATCCCGTAGTGGTAGAGGTAATAAGAGTATAAGCAGTAATCGGGAAGATTAGGGTTTGGAGATGTTATTTAAAGAGTATAATCCAGTGAAATAAATTTGGAAAGTGAAAAAAAGGGACATGAAGAATTCAGATTAGAATTTGGGAGAACACAATGAGTGGATGCACCTGCGCCATTGCAAACGATTTTGAGCCATGTCATTCAGGGTCTCTAACCATCGGTTGCTATCATCTCGCGGTCCCCAACCAGGTAGTCTACACCTACCACCATGACTCAGTTCACTTGTCAGTGACTTCATGGACTTGTGCCATGTTTTGGTCTGGCCGCCCTTAGCTTTCTTCCAACCTACTCCTATACCACTGAACATAGCACGTCGAGGTAGTCGGTCGTTCAACCCCTGGAAATTTAGATGAGGAGAGTGTTATCTCTAAACGTACGTCGACCACAAAGTTGAACAAGAATGGAGAGAGTCGGCAGCCCTGACGAACACCACTTGAGGTAATCAATTCTGAAGACAGTTCGCCATAAGCTCTCACTCTACCAGTTGTGTTCGAGTAGAGAGCCTTTACAAGGTTAATGTACTTCTTTGGTACTCCTTTCAGTGACAAACACTGCCATAGAACCTTACGATCGACAGAGTCGAATGCTGCTTTAAGGTCGAGAAATACTACGATTGTGGGGCGTCTGAACGTGTGTCTGTGTTCTAGAACCTGACGTAGTGTGAATATGTAGCCTGAACAACCACTTCAAGGTCGAAAACCAGACTGATTTTCTCTAATCTGCTCTTCACGAGCTTTAGTTAGACGTCGAAGTATTATTGAAGCTAATATTTTAGACACTATATTAGTCAAACTGATTCCTCTGTGATTGTCACAAGAGGACTTTTGTCCTTTCTTATAGACTGTCACAATCAGTGATTGAGACCAGTCAGATGGGATTACGTCCAGTTCCCAAATTTTACCTAAGACCTCAGTTAATCTCACTGTTAATACTGGACCACCATCCTTAAAAATCTCAGGAGTAAACCTGTCAGGGCTTGCTGCTCTCCCTCGTTTCAGATTACCTATAGCTTTTTTATTTTCGTAAAGAGTCGGAGGACCTACGTTAACTTGCCATTCAGGTTGACCGGAGATCGTGGGAAACCGAAGTGTGGCTGAAGGCCAGTTGAACTGATCCTTAAAGTGTTTTGCCCATCGATCCAATCTCCTGGATTGAGAATGTATAATATGTCCATCTTTCTCTGAGAGTGTTTCGCTAACAGTCGGTTTCCTAATACCGGTTTCCTTAACAAGTCTGAACAATTGTCTGCTATTACCTATTGCCACTGCCTTTTCCATCTCTCTTGCTTTCGCTACCCACCACTGTTCGCGATCACTGCGTAGGCTTCTTTTCAGCTTGCGCTTAAGCTGACTCCGCTCTTCATTATGTTCAGAGCCAGGTGGAATGAGTTTCCGAACATTTATCAGTGCGATAGATGCTGCTGAGATCCAATGTTGCTCCCTAACCTTCTGGTTTACCTTACTAGCAGATATCACTGCTGTTTCCACAGCTTTTCGGATATCATTCCATGCTGCATCGGGGTGGGCATCACTTACATGGCTGCCTAACTGTTTTCCTAGTTGTTCCTGAAATATACTCTTAGCTTGACTATCATTAAGTAGGGCCCTAAGAGGTTTCCTTGCAGCGTCTTTCCTACGTCCAGTAAGACGCAAGCAAATACGCGCTCGTACTAGAGCATGATCTGAATTTAGGCATGTGCTCCAGAATGAGCGACAGTCTTCTATCGAGCCCCTCCATCGGTGGCTGATAGCGATGTGATCTATTTGGGTCCAACGTTGAGACGAATTAGGAGGTCGCCATGTTAAAAGATGTTTTTCCTCATGCTTAAAGTTAGTATTTGCAAGGAACAGGTGGTTATCTGAGCATAGCTGCAACAGACGGTCGCCATTATCTGTTATTTGAGCCACGACACCATAAGATCCACCTAGGTTTCTTTCCCTATCGCTTAGTTTACCTACTTGAGCATTAAAGTCACCGGCCACCATTACTACATCAGAGCGCCTAGCTTTTCGGAGAAGGTTCGAAAGCTTTCTGTAAAACTCATTTTTTACATCATCTGCGCTGCAGTCAGTGGGAGAATAGGCAGAGACGACGAAGAGGCAACGACGAGTGTCTCTATCTTTCCGAGTCCTTATTGTTCCGTTCAGTCGGACAGCGCACAAACGACTATCTACTGGGATCCACTCTAAGAGAGCTAGTTCTGTCCTAGGACTCAATGCTATACCTACGCCGGCGAGGCCACGGGAAGCAGAATCAGGTCTTCCAGATACACGAAGTGGGAATCGAGTCGGTTTTTTATTTTGGCATGGTGAGGTCAAGTGAATGACGCTACTCGGATCCTGTATGCGCGTTTCGGAGACGCAGCACACATCGATGGCGTGGGATTCTAAAGTCTTAGCTAAGGAAGCCTGTTGTCCTATTTGGCACAGTGTTCGGACGTTAAAAGCTCCTACGTGTAGTTTAGAGCGTGGTTTCAGGAGACCAGGAATAACGTTCCGCGTACTCGAATCGTTTGCCCTAGCGGTGCGAGGTGATAGTCGTTGAGATAGGAGAGTTTTTAGGTGTGGGGAGGATTTGACTGTGACCAACTTGGTCTCGTGTGCTGTTACGGGTATGAGGGCTGATGTCACTTCCCGGCTGCCCATACCGTGGAAGGGTAGGTACATAAATTCGTGTACTTGACTTCGAGAAACACTTTAAGTGTGGGGGCTAGTGATACTAGCAGGTTGCCCAAGTCGAAGTAGGTGGGGAGGGGCTTCAATATACGATTAAGTAGCTGAAAGTCGGACGCTTTAATGATTAGACAACCGCTGAGCTTCATAGTTATGCATATACCCTTCAAGTGGGTAATTTCACATTAGTTTCCAATCATTTGTAAAAGCGGTACACCGAGATAGAAAAACATAATCTCGATCCATTTTTCAATTAATTACGTAACAAATGCTGGCGGTGTTTCCTCGATTGGCCAGACGGTAATTTTCAATTACGTAATATCAAGAATTCTTTTTTCTAATAAGAACTTGGTAGTACGGTCATCGACATACAACAACAATTCAGAGTTAATAATCCACGCCCCAATAAGAGATAGAGAACATGGAACACCTGAAGAGGTTTACATGTTGAACAGAAGTCAAAATCGAGAAGGGATACCTCTCTATATATAGTAACAAAGTATGACATAAGACACGAAAATTGCTAAACTAAAAGTTTTAACGGTCGATCAGAAAACAGTAGAGTTTGTGCGAAACTATGAATTCAAAAATATTATTGCGATTGTTGTTACAGAAAATAGATTTACATTTATTAACAAAAACTAGACAGCTTAAAGTCTCATTGGCATGGCCATGACCAGACATTGCTAATTTCATGACACTCTCTATGTTGGGTATTTGGATAAAACTCATGAAACAATCAAGACCAAAACGCAAAAGTAGTTCATTTTCGATTGTTTTGAGCCATAACTGAGGCTTCAGGCTTTTTGCTAAGATTGACAGCAAGATAATCATTAAACATAGCTATCATAATCTTTATAAACACCATTGATATTTTGAAATATCTACAGAGAATTGTATAACAAAAAGGTGAGTAAATAGAAAAGGAAACACAATAAACGATTCAATGGAACTTCAACTTACAGGATGCTTAATAATTTCATGTAGATAATAAGTTGAATTACACAGTGCTTTTTCATCGCAAAATCCACAACTAACATGTTGGTGTCGGATTACGCCAGCCTTTGTCCAAAATAATTGACCACATAAATGACAAGGAATTGTTGGGATATGTCGTAAACCTTTAACCTGAGCATTCGTCGTCACAGAATATACATGAAAATGAATCATATGACAATTAATTTAACTAATAATTAAACAATGTGAATAAGTATTGACCAATTTAAACAAAAATAACCCCAGTAGTAATCACAACTTTTTGCTAAATACTAATCACAAACAATCATATTGGGGCAATATACCTGATGGTCATCTTCAAACTAACTAACTATAAGTATCAACTCGAGGGATACACATAGCATATTAAAAAATGATCATTCAGCTATATACTAATCAGGTCTTTTTGTAGTGCCAGTCATCCTGAAGGCATTGTTCAACAAGTTTGTTCCAATAGTAGTGTGGTGTATGCTAATTATGTTGACAGACATAAGTAGTATGTAATTGCTATTTAACAAAAAGTAAGAATGACTAATGATCTGTCCACTGTAATCACTTTGCTGAACACTTACCACAGATACCCCAATAAAGATAATGCTATTTTTGCGAACCAGTTTTTGTCTACTCAAAGAACTTCAAATCAATTTGAAGAATGCAGACGACACAATCTCATTAAGTGATAATAATACTAAGATTTTATAATACCCCAATATGAAAGAATATATAGAGTAAATTTTGTACTTGTAAACATAAAGATTTCTAGAGTCTGGATCTACTCTGATGTCTGTATATCAGCAAGATATATAGAAGCCTGCTGAGTATATATCATAAGTGCATATCATCAAATCAATTTTTACATCTGATGAAACTATCGAGTAAATAAAATTGATGCATCTGGCTTATCCATCCGTCGTCCATCCATTACATGTGAATGTCCTGTAACAGTTTAAAAAGCACAATTAGACCAACATTTATTCGTTGATTTTAATGCTAGTTTTGTTCATCAAAACACTGGAGAAAAATGTAGACCACAAGTTAATTTTAAAGTGATTCATGTACAATTCTGGGGACTGATATAAAGTGATAAATAGCAAGATATTACAAACCACCACTTAATTAATTAAAGACAACACATATTAGCTCTTAACTAACAAATATGAATTGACTCGAAGAATCTTAAGAAAACGACTAAGCTATCATTAGTATATTATATAATGGATTATTACATATCCTAAATATGATGTAACTAGCGAGTGCAGAGCATATAAGTCACATTAGCAGAACAAAAAACTATTTAGTAATACATGTATTTTATAATAACTTAAGTGACACTTGGTACAAAGGAACACCAAGACATTTTTCACATAACCTAAGATGATAACTTCGAGAGAGAGAAAAATCACCATCCAAATCTAGTTATCCAACTTATTATCATCGAGTTACCAACTAAAACATTTATCTCAGTCGGAGCATCAATATACTGTACAACACAAAAATTAGTTGCATGTTTCAGTCTAGAATATGAACGATTACGAAATCGGTATAGTGTATTGATTAGAAAAACTGAAATGTGACTATCAGTGTAATGTAGAGTGAATGTTTCATTCTATCTGGAACTCTCCAACTGGATACGCCTTCATTTCAGAGTTGTACTGATTAAACTATGAGGTTGGTAGATTTCTTACCATATTTAATAAATAAGCAAATGTTACAATAATCTTTTACAGAGGTGAAATAACCAAAAACCTATCGTTTAGTCAGTTAGTCATAAGCAACTGTAGAACCTGGCCACCAAGTACATGTATACATTCAAGTTGCTGCAGAATATCAAAACAAATTAGCAAGATGATATAAAACTATCTAGAAAATTACTAAAATAGTAGAAGTAGTAACAGGTACTAGCAGCAGCAGAAAATATTGCATCCATGTTACTCGTTAATGTAAAAATCTTTTTTATTTCTTATGAAAAATTCACCTACTTTTATACAGACTTATTTATTGTATATATATATTTGTATGATACATATGAAGAATAAGAGGAACCTGTTGAAATATTTTATACTGTGCTTTGCAGCTTAAGACTTACTCTATGACGAGACATAACGTGAAAACTTTGAACAATTGTTTCCGTTGGAATATTGGAAGGGCACAGTTCACACGGAACTTCTAACATTGGCAAAACACGAGGTAAACTACGCGGTTGACTTCCCAGGCATCGCCTAATTTGACCACTAGGTCCCACCTGAACACGAATAGTATTATCTCCATTGTTAGTAAGTGAAGATTGTTGTTGTAATAAATTATCAGATGCTAAACCAACAGAAACTGGTATGACAGGTTTTGGTTGAATAGGAATTTTCGATTGGTTGGAAGAGAGGAAAGATAAAAGAGTTGGATTTGATGACGATACAATAGACCATGATGATGTTGTAGCCGGGATTTGTGTATTTCCATGCATAAAGAGGTTAGACTGTTTACTGATTGTAACGTAAACAGGAGGCATTGGTTCAAAAGGCAAAGTATGTTTCACTGAAACAGACGGAGTTGTAGTAGGTTGACTAACTAAAACAGATGGTAATATGGAGCCTGTCACAGATTTCGATACCAAATCAGAAACGGAAGTAATGGGAGAGTAATTAGGTAAAATACACACTGATGATATATTAGTTAGATTTACACTAGACGATGATGAAGCAAAACATGGCTGAATCGGTAAGGACGATGAAACTAATACAGTTGATAGGGAAATAGGTATAGCACTTTTAGAATTGCATGTCCTTATTTGTGCGGGAGTTGAATTGTAAAAAGAAACAGTTCTATAAAAGAGATATACACAAAACCAACATTTTAATGGTTGAATGAAAGAACCAATATACCTTTTGCTATATTCCATCGAGTAAAGAAATTGTATTTCTGATGTTTCGCGACTTAAGATAAACCACTTCATCAGAGTAAATAATTGACCGAATCAAATTAACACGAGTTTAAATAGTAAAAAGGAAACAACGTAGAATATTTCTAGTACAATCAAAATCATAATGGGTCTGAATATGCCAATGTCAAATTATTCTTGGTCAAGGTGAATTTATATGACCTGTCACTGTATTAATTTGTGTATCAGAAGGTGGATATGAAAAATGTATGCATTTGTGACATGAAACAGCACGGTTGAAACTGAGCATGTTGTGTATGTAGATTGTGTGGAAAGTAAATAAAGTCATATATGATTGTTTGGATAAACAATTCAGAAGAGCAATCAATATCATTAATTCAGAATACATGCTTAATGAAAAAATGATACAATAAGCATCCTATGATTTGATAATTTCCCTAAGAATATTATAAAAACATTAAAACAAAATTATCCTTATATAAATAATAATTCTAATGAAAGATCTTGGGTTCGTACTGTGGTTTTACTTTGCCATGTTGGTACGACAGAAGATTTACAATGGATCTTGAAAACTTACAAAACCAAAGCCTTCTATAAGACGACCAACACTAAGAAACGCTTTAGTCAGAATAAAAGATAAAATCTCATCTACTTCTATACACATAGTCTACACACACAACATGCTCAGTTTCAACCGTGCTGTTTCATGTCACAAATGCATACATTTTTCATATCCACCTTCTGATACACAAATTAATACAGTGACAGGTCATATAAATTCACCTTGACCAAGAATAATTTGACATTGGCATATTCAGACCCATTATGATTTTGATTGTACTAGAAATATTCTACGTTGTTTCCTTTTTACTATTTAAACTCGTGTTAATTTGATTCGGTCAATTATTTACTCTGATGAAGTGGTTTATCTTAAGTCGCGAAACATCAGAAATACAATTTTTTACTCGATGGAATCTAAGAAAGAAATAAATTGGTTGTATGGAATGTTTAAAAAAGATAAAATGAATGAATGCTATGTTAAGCGTCACCTGAAATAAACCATTCTCTGTTCTTTCGCCTTCTTTTCTCTTATTTTAGATGGTTATAATTACCGTGTAACGATATTACGATCGCTATTAGTCACATTATTTACTCTAATAAATGATATTCCAGTTCACATACTGAGAAAATACTGGTTCTCAACTGCTGCTTCACATCCTTTCGACAAATGTTCTTTCAACAACAAAAAATAGAAACCACGCCTTTCAGACAATTCATTCCTGTATATCTGTCCTTTACATGTCACATTTCATTTTACATCAACCTGACCATGATCGTAAACAAGCACGACTTTTGTAATTATTTCCAAAATATTCCTTATTAAACAATCTTGGGTCACAAATCATTTCTACAAAACAATATAAGCATATGTATTAATTGTAAGCCACTTCTACTACTATAGTAGTAATGACGAATTTATGAGTTTAGAGATGAGAAGGAGGCTACCAGCTCTAACATATCTTAACAACTATAAAGATTATATAAGCACTCTGAAGGTAAAACAAGAACGGAAACCTTCTTATTACAGAACTAATGCTTTTACTAGAAACGACTGTACAAAGGTTTTCTCATAATATGTTAATAATGAAGTCTACAATACCAATTAAATTTAATGACGTAACATGAATATTAATTATCTTAATTTGTGTTCGTTAACAATCTTATCAAACGACTTACCTCTCTTAACTAGGACTTTATACGCGAGTTAAAAACTGTTTAGAGATTTTATCAAACGTGAACAACAACTTAAATCATTATTCGTAATATGAATATCGAGTGCTCATATTTCTTAGCTTCAACAACTATGACACCCCTCATAGCTGTGTAATATTATGTAATTATGATGATCTCAAAGTCGTTTTAAACCACTCACTTCAAAAATACAAACGCAACAGATATTTTAATATCTTCAATTCATAATCTAACACTAATTAGATTACAGGATCTTATAACAGGAGAAACAAAGAGGAAATTATGGCGATAAATGATAATGACGAGTATGGATTTGAGTTACTAAATGTTGCTGACGAATGAAGCGAGAAACACTGAATAAAATCGAGAACTCCATGTAGATATTTACACGAATTCTCCCAAATTAGGGAATATCAATACTGCAAAAAAACTAGACGATAAGACTGAGCATAGAAGCTTGGAAATAATATTTATGCAATTTCATCTATGTTACTCATGAGTAGCCCTTATTTCTCTGTAGATTTTCTACTACTAACCAGTCATTTTCTCAATTTAATGTAACATAGCAACCAAACGCAAGTCCATGTACTTGACTTCGAGCTACAAACTTCGTGTTTTATTTTTTAGATTGATTTTTATACTTTCGCCAATGCTGATCAAACCATTTTTCCTATCCGTACAGAGCATCACAGTATTCATTTACCTCTTTGTCTTACCAACACAATAATGTATATTGGTCTATCCTCTGGTTTTATTTTAAATAAGAGAATACGGTAGCTTCTTATGGTTATTAAAAACCCATAAACACAACTCCATATACGAATATGATTCAACAGTCCCCTTTAGACACCTTTACCAATATTATTGTTACATCGACTCTATTGCAAAAATTAAACATATTACACGAATGTCATCCCATTCGTGTCCACCTTCTATTCTATCGTACAACCCCTCTCCTCCAATATTTCCTCACAATCTCATTCCTTTATTTGTGTGGTAGAACTTACACCTTTTAGTGCCCAGTTGTACCTAAATGTGCTAAACAAAATAAAATAAATTGCTATTTCTTAGTTATTTTGACTATTTTTATTTACTTTAATGTAAATATATAATTAACACTGAACTCAAACTTGGATGCCTTTATTTGGATGAAAATATAGTACATGACATTTTTGAATAACAGGAAACTTCCGATTGATTGACGAGAGTAGTAACCAGTCAAATGTAAATATTTCAACATTCTAGGAAGTCATTTGTGATCGAAATAGCTTAGTGGTAAAAACTAACTTCATAGCTGGGTGACGCGGATTTGAAGCGTACAGAGTTCATTCCTTCAAATTGCAGGTACGGATTATTGAGAAGTGCCCACTAGCACGAGGCCTGAATTCAGGGCTTCCTGGTGACTAGTTTCGGGAAAACTTCTATTTTAATGCGTAGGGGAATGAGTGAAGAAAAACTAAGGAAAATCATTAATTACTCTCGGTACGTACTACGTTAAACAATTATTTAGCGAACTAAATTCGTATATTTTCCCACAAAAAAACACGACAAAATTGTATATTTTCACAGTTCTAATCACGAACTGATTTAAGAACATCATTGAAAACTTGGAAGCACTGGACGACCGTCCCATCCTAGTAGCGGCTTCATAGCATTGAGCATCCACAACTCAGAACCCGTAAATCGAACCCAGGACCTTCAGTCTCACGCGAACGCCTAACCTCACTGATGTAAGGTCGTATGTTTACATTGCCGAGGAGTCCCATACTAAAACGAAACAGTTAGCCAGTGCTTCCAGGTTTTTAATGGCGAACTGTAATCAGTTCGTGATTTAAAGTGAGATTATGCAATTTATAAAATATCCCTATATTAACAGACAGTATCGTGTCTAAATTGTCACTAACCTATAATATATGAGAATCATCAAACTCTATTAAATCAAAGCATAAAAATGTAATAAACAGTTTTAAAATGTACTAAACAAAAAACTTACGAAGGAGTCGATGCTTCTGAGAATACAGATTTTAAGCTGTTATTGTGTTCTAAAATTCTCATTTTTGATTGAATCAGTGGTTTACCTTGATCTGGATCAACAAGTTCACCATAAATGGCTGATATTGCTGCACAACATCTTAAAGTATAAGACTGAACACTCCAACCACCAAATTGATTTATTCGAGCCATTAACATACGTTGAATTAATGCATAGAGAAAATGAGCAACATGAAAAGGTAAACCAAATCGAGCATACATAGTAGGATAAAGCATAAGACAGGCTAGTGCGTGAGCGTCACATCCTGACCATGGAGCACTATTATGTATTGACGAATTACTTTTACATGATACATGTATTGAAACATCAGAGTGCAAGTGATGAGAAGAATGTCTAATTAAATTAGTCTGTGTAGGGAAGCCACATATAGAACATAAGATAACTGTTGGTTTTTCTATACGACCAGGGGTTAATTGTGGATGCACGCTGCAATTATAATTATTTGTTAAATAAATAAAAGAAAACAATGATTTCAATACTTACAATTATTCTCTTTTATATTGTACCAAGTTCATTGAATTCATTCAACTACTATATTCTATGTACACTTTAAGCTATACATCAAATAATTGGATTGTAGATGCTTTCAGGTTTAATTGAGAAAACATTTAAAGTATTAATCTACCAACTTCTAGTTTCGATTTCCAGATAGTTTTAACTTCACTGACGTGAACTTGCTAATTGTTGAAGATTGCTTTCACCATTAAATGCAAGTGTATCATAAGTGTTTAGTGGGTTGTCGGTTCACTTTTCCTCGTGTTCTCCAGATTTCTCTACATACACAGCTCTGTATATTCCTCCAGCTCACAAACTACCTGCAGGTCAGACGTAAATCTACCAAAGGCGTTGAAAGTTACACATCGACAACCTGGTTATAGATAAAATTACACCATTTGAAATCAATATCCATCAAGATTAAACAATTGGGCAAATAACCTTTCCAATTGTATAGACTTTCTATAATCTACCATCGTCAATATCTTGGAGTAAAGCTACTTAACAATTAAATATATATACCGATAAGTAGAAATAGAAATATTGGAATGAAGGCAGACAGATATACTGAATTAAACAAGCAAGAACTAGGTACATTAATCATTTACGAGTGGCCCATAGAAACCTGGCCTGACTGCGTCAGCAAAACTATATAACTTAAGGAGCACGTTAGTTCTAGTGGGTAGGTGTCTGGCGAAATCTCGGCACTTGTGGCGTAAGCAGGACTTCCTTACCCCAACTAAAAAGGAGTTGTACTGAGCAGTCCGCTCTGCAGTACTCTATGGCTTGGAAACATGGTTTGTGAAAATAAAAGACATGAGTAGACTTTAAGTGTTCAGTAATAGATGTATTTGAAGCATTGCTTGCGTATGATAAAACAACCGAGTAATGTTGTGTTTATGCATAGGGTGCTAGGGAAATACGGAAATCCGGTTGATAAGGTAGAGTCTTTACCAACGGAAAATGTGTTATATAACACTAACCACTGACAACATAGACGGGAGGTGTTATCTGATGTACGAGTGAGTTGGAAGCTAGGGACGGCCGAACCAAAACCTGGAATCAGTCCACGAAGTTACTGTTGGTCTGAGCCATGTTCGTATCTACAGAATACCTAGTTGAAGTCCACACGATAATCAGGATTAGTAGCTGGAGAATTTGGGTAACAACTCAGGATCGGTTACAAAAACCCAGATGTTGTTTTGACTTGTTTACCACCTATCTTGTTAACTTCATCTCATTGTACTAATATGGTATGGGAACTTAGATTAACGAGTAACTATGCTGAGATCGATGTTGATTATAACTGACTAGTGCCACAATTTTAGAATACCAGATAAGGTGGCATGGACATATCCTACGAATTTCCTTCCGGTAGCTTCTATACCTGGGATTGAGTACAAAATGATGAGATACCGTCAAGGCCTAGTGGGATGAAAGGTAACCATGTAGGACACTTTGATCCGTCACCACTTTTAGAGTAGGGTAGTGAATATTACACAACTCCGTGAATTGAAGTGCTATCAGACATAGTTTAAAATAAAAGCAATCCTGATCCTGTTGGGGTTACTCATCGGATAATCGAAAGATTTGAAACGCATATCTTAAAATAACGAAATATATTTTGGTTGTTTCGCTTGACTGTACTCTATTGATGGACATGACTCTTACTCTGTATTCTACTTCTTCGGTGTTGTCAATTCACACTACGTGGTGAACTGAGTTGGGGTTCTTTTGTATCGAAACCTTAGGGTTAAGAACAAAATTATAAAACGTACATGTAACTCATATTACAATGAAACTATAGTGAGACCACAAACTCACCACTGAATAATAAGTAAATATTAATTGTATATATTAACAGTTAACTTTGTCCCGAAATTCTAATTTCTTAAAGGCTATTTTAACTACTTATCAATTTGAGACCCCCGAGGCTAGTTACACTGCAATAACGTGAAGTAAAATAACTTCTAAATAGATTAAAATACTGAGTAATAAATAATGGTTGGTAAAAACGGTTAATGTTTCATACTACTCAAAACCAGCCAGTTGAATACACTTGTATTCGAACAAAAAATTGGTATTCATGACGACATTTAAACTAAATTAAACAGGTAAGCATCATATACTAAGTATAATCTACTTCATTTTTAACATATGTGATACTACTTGATTTGTGTTAGCAGAATATACATTGAAGTAAAACATGTTCCATTAAAAATTGTTTTGGGGCACGGTGCTTGGCCTATTCTCAGCCAATTAGCGACAGGGTGTAAAATTATAAACATGATAACGTGTTTCTTACTGGAATTCACTCCAATTCAAGTTGATTTATTTGGAATATAATTACGTACTTGTCCAAACCGTGTTCTGATTTTGGAGACCAGTCAAGTGAGGCGAAGTGTCCACAGAATACTAAGCACTAAGAGTAGCTAACTTGTATACAGAGATCTTAACAATTCATCTACGTTATATAATATAAAGGTGTCTCTGTTCAAAAACGCCTATATCATATGGAAATAAAAGGGGGACATTTTTAGGTGTATCAAAGTAACACAATAATCTAAAAGTGAGTTAATTCTATATGAATAAATATCCAGTTTATTATCATTGATACTACCACTATATGGTAGAAATGATGCAACGAAGCAACTGTAAAATAAAAAAAACATTGTACTAACCGTTGGAAATGATTTTCTAGTAAACGTTGAGACTTATTCACTAGTCCACAGACAAAACATGTATATGGTGATATATTTGAAGAGGAATCGAAGATATTTACAGTGAGTGGGATATAAAATCGGCTTATCAGTTTATTGCCCAATAATTCTGCTGCATTAAGCATGCATTCATTACAATCTACTTTTTCAAGCCGTGTTTTTTTAGGTATCACTAGTGAATTAACATTAACTAGTTTCTGGTGACCTCGTTCTAGATGTCGTAATAATTCTAAAGCAGATGTAGGAACATAGGGACAACGACAATGATGACAATAATTCCATATGTCTTCCCAACGTGGATGACGCGCTTTTGGTTTCCATTCTAAATGAGAAATGTTGATAGTTTCTATACTGATTTTATCTGTAGATAATCGAGTTGGTTCCTCATCAACACGTCTGCGTTTACGTCGATTACTCAATAACTGGTGGGGAGTTACTTCTTTACCAACCGCTGGCTCATACTGTGAGCGCACAAGTGCTGAACCTGAAAATGAGCAACAAATAATCAGGCAGACAAAAAACATTAAAATTGGGAGTAGTTTCGGTCAGTATTAAATATTGACTGCTTTAAGAATGAATATCGCAATACACTGATGCTCAGTGAGTAAATTTTATGACCGATTTCAAATGACTTTCTACTGATTGACTTTGATCTTTCCTAAAACTACAAATCTATCCTTCTACCAAATATTTATAAGTCAAGAACAATATACGTTATTTCAAAGTTTTACCGTGCAATGAAGAGTACATTCTAATGCTAAGTTTAGAATTCGGATAAGTCACAATTTCAAATATGTCATGGTAACTATGCATAATTACAAACAAGACGGGTCTGGTTTCTAAATTACTTGGGCTAATATAATGACCGAAATTACACTATTATCGAATGATTCAAAAATACACAAAAATCAATCTTAGTATGGTTCCTCAATACAGTAATTCCAAAAACCCGGTGACGGAATTATCCTTAAAGCTTTTTGGTTTAACCAAACATCAGGACTGAAAGAATGCAACTCGATAATTCTTTGCATATTTGTAGACCAGATGTGAGGTATGATGATACTACATGGTAATGACGGGGTGGTTTGATGATTAAATGCTTGAATTCGCCCACTAGTTTCAAAGTATGAACACAGCTCTCATTAATTGGGTTTAGGCAACCACGTAGTAATACCAGTTCTTATGCAAAATTGTGACTAAAAGCTAAATAAATGAATTAGATAAATAAGTTCAGCTAACTAAAAACTTAGTTATTGAAAGCACAAATCCTGAAAATTTGAGTTGACTTTAAACTTATGACAACGTATATAGTTTGAATTCCTACTTTTCTGGAATACATTCATAGATTTCAGACGCATAGTGAACGAACGAAAAGCATTATGAAAACAAAATATGTGTTTGAAAAAATAAAAATGAAATGAGACTATTAATTGTTAATATAATTACATCAAAATATTTTCTCAGCATCAACTACATTCTAACCACATAGAAACTTTCAGACTAACTTTTAATAGTCATTATAATTGGTAAGATTATGTTTTATCCTAATCATAAAAATCACTAATAACGAAATACACATTAAGAAACACAGTGATGCATACCATTTGGTTTTCGACATAGGTATCGTCTATGTGAAAAAGGGTGGGTAGTTTCAACTCACTCATAGATACTTTGGTTTTATCTACTACATGACCAGTATCGACAAAATGGGATGGAACGACAAGTGCTCGTTAACTCGTTGGTTAAGTTATCTGGTTGCAAGCTTGGTATGCCATCCATTGGTTTAGTGTCTCATATATGAAGACAAATATCCCTACATATTAAAGCCTGCTGAAGATTTATTCAGGAATAATATCGATCGTTAATTGTATTTAGGGAGAAGTGTTCAGAGAAAAGTCTGGTGATAATAGGCAACACCACGTTATTATAAAATAGAGGTCAATTATGAGAATATCCGTAATGCATCTACAAAATGAAAAGATCTAACCTAATCAAAAAAAGATACAAGTTCCTACAATTACCCGATAGCCATACACATACATATATAATGTATCACGCCTTATAAGTTTACTTGAATCTGGAGGTGATAATAAGCAGGGAATAAATTTGAATTCAAAGCTGATGATCAAGGGCCAACTACTACTGAGACTACTAATTTATGATTGTACAGCGCTTAATATAAATGAAGAGGGAATGGAACAAAAGCAAAAAATAAGTTAAATAAAAAAAGTTAAAATGGTTGTCGTCAGAGTAGGTCTCGACATCTACCAGGTTTGAAGTAATCAAATTTTTAAAATAAATAAAATCTAGTGACTTTATTGTTACAGAATATTCAGAAAAATTAATCCATAACTACAAAACTAATGGACCTGAGGTTCAGTGGTCTAAGTACACTAATTCCACTTATTATATTACAATCTCAACCCCAATCCCAATTCGATTGGTGTATTTAGCCCTTTCAATAGACATGGCTGAATTTTTATTATCTGAATATGTATCTAAATATCAAGTTGTATTGATTAAATTCTGATATTAAATACATTCAAAATGTTACATGGTGCTACAAATCAACTCCATGGAACCTTCTCAAGATCCAACTTACCTATACGAAGTAGAAACTTAACCACTGGACGTAGACTCCCTTTCTTATTAACATTAAAGCCAGAATTAGATGGTCCAGATGGAAGCGTATCAGAGTTAATAGGAGTTCGAGGAATTGTATGAGACGGTAAAAGAACCCGTTGGTGCGTAACTCTCAAATAACTACGAGGTACGACGTTATTAGCATATATTGAACGATAGTTTCTAAGAGGGTTGAAATCCTGACTACTTGATTCAATATCACAATAGTGAACAACATCTTCACTAGACTCATTTTGTTTGACCACTTCGGGAGTGATAATCACTGCGTGATCTTGATTTGATTTTGGGGCAATTGCTCTAAATGAAGACAATGATGACGATGAAGACGACGGTGCGCTTGTTAATGGAGTCTTTGAAAAAAAAGATAGTACAAGATGTCACTTAAGACAGAAAACATGTTTTATGCTAGCACAAATTCATGAAAGTGATATTAAAACTCTAAATCCATTCTGATAGTTAGAATTTACTGTTTCGAACCACGTGATATTTACGGAAACATTAAAATATGGAAATCCAATTTAATGGTGAAATGTACAGACAACGTCTGCAATACGTTCATTCTTCCTAGACTTATGAATCTAACTTTGGCATAATCAAATTCAAATTATATCAACAGTATAGGGATTGATTATATTGTTAGGATAACATCAAATTGATAACTATCCAGATGCTAAAACATTCAGAATAATTATCAAGGATAGCGAACTAATTAAATAACGCGAAAGTACTACTGAATAAAACGTCTTGTACTAATCTATCGCATTTGGTCGGGCTTCCCAATCAAAAAAGTCGACTTGCAACTAGCCACCAGAAATCATTAGCTTTTGTGATTTATAGAAAAGCCTAACAAAAGAACTAATTATTGGGTGCTTGAAATTCTCAACAACAGATGTTCCAAAGAATGTAGTGAACACAATGGACGTATGAATCTTAAATTAACACGGCTTGATTCTACCACAAACCAAATGAGACTAAGTCCAGTTATAAATAAATAACTTGAAAATCACTCATTTAAAAAATTATAACACATCGATGTAGATTGTATTAAGCTAATGATAAAATCCATAAACCGATAATGTTTCTGAGTTACTTGATGTTGATAAGCCAAAAATCCACACACGAATAGCCAACCAATTTAATCTGATAAACTTAAAAAGTTAACGATAACTAATATCTAGGACATGAGGAGTTGGTATCACAAGCACTTTACAATAAGAGTACGATATTCAAGTATCTATCGGTATGCAAGCACAAGTATTGGTAGATTTTCATGACACATTGAAAAGGATGAGACGTGCACCCTAGATTTCAACTGACCACAAGTTTTAAAGAGTTACATTAAATGCAAATTACTTAAGTTTTAGCTAGCTTTAAAAAAACTATGAACATTTAAACCATATATAGTATAAAATTAAATTGTAAACTGAATTACCGAATCAACTCCTGAAGTAGACTTCTTGTGATTAACAACAGATAGAGTCGAATGTGTTTTCGGAAGTATGGGTCGTCTCGAATTGTTTGAGGTCATACTACAGTGAAATAATAAATAAATAAAGATAGAGGACCGTTACATGTGGGTTTCAGATTTAATGACTATCTGGGATCACATATGTCAATTCATTGAGGGTAGATATGAAAGAGAGAATACATACCTAAGTGACCTTAATGCCCTATATAAAAACAAAACAACTTATTCCCTTAGAACAAGATAACAATACATAACAAAAATAAACTGAAGATCCTACTGAGATAGTTCGGACTTCTTTGTCACTAAAAAGGAGGCATTTTAAGATTTCCAACTTTTTTATAACTTTACTCCTAACATACGCTTTACATAAGTTCGAAAGTCAGTTATTACTTGTACGTGAACGAAAGACAGTAGATTTAAAGAAAAATGCAATGAAGTTAACTTCAAATTACTTTACGCTCAGAAGATTCGGCTACTTACATAAGAGTTAAACAATTCGGACGCATATGGCTTATCGTGGCATACTCATAATAGTTAAGAGAATATTACTGGAGATTTCTTAGACATAAATATAATAAATGCAATGACTAAAGTATAATTTAAAGCACCGGTGTGTAGTTTACGAAAATATTTTAAGAGTGCTACCACTTAAACCGAATGTACGGACAAAAAGAAAACAAGCTGACGGGAACTTTACAGATGATTAAAAATTCTTTATGAATGTGATCAGAAATTAGATTTAGAGAAATGAGGCTTCGATATTGCATGCATGACCGCGTACTACGTTACAAATCACACCTCCACAATTTTATGTTATTTTCCTTCCCTACAAACGTTAAAAAGCAATATTTGGACTACAAGAAATCGTATACTTTAACTGTAGTTATTAATCAGCTCGCAGAATCCTTTAAATAAATGAACGCGTAAATAATGTTATTTTGTGTTTATTCATCGACACCATGCAATCAAAGTTATAATACACACTGCTTGAAACTGCTGTGACGAGATTTTGCTGAGTTCGTTTTGTTCTACACAACTTACTGCATGTATACATTTTTAAAGAGATACATTATGCTTAGGGTAAATACCTTACTACCGTAAAGTGCCAAGTTTCCTTTATGCCAATTAAACCTGAATTACTTATAATATTTGTGCATACATTTAATATTCCATGAAAGGAAAAAAGGACCTAGCCGAAACATCTAGACGCAAAAAACGTAAACTATGAAGAACTATGTTGAGAATCAAAAATATAATCGTGTATCTATAAACGAAGATTGTTTATTATCATTGCTAACTTTATTGAAAATTTAATATTGTTGTTAACTAAAGGAACAGAAGGTCCAAAAAACTTATTGCCACGGCTAATGCGTAAGTAGTCATTTATATGACCCATAACAAATAAATATAAGCCCTACACATACTCAAAAGTCATGAAAACCCGAAGCAAGAAGAGTATGCCAAAACAAAAGCAAGTCAACATTACAAATTAGTGAGAGCCTCATAGTACGCGCCTGCAAAGAAGAAACTACCTTGACAAGAAAGCGACCAGACCGCATAAAGTTCTATTTAGCGGGGATTTTATAAAACTACTCAAAACCCCTCAAAAAGCTCCAAAATCTATGAGAATACGAAAATAAGACTGACGAAAACAGACATTAATTAAATTGTTTAAATGAGGTCTTAAAATTTGTCACCAAAATTTTAACATGGATGCTTCCTGTGACCTCAAACTTCCGGTGCGATAATTAAAACGTATTTTAAAACTTTCATAACGAAAGATCAAGTATTGAAAGCTGATGTTTCCCCCAGACTTTCACTGATGATTATAATATCCAAACCAGCATCCTGCGTATGCAATGACAGACTTTTTTATCCTATCCTTATTACTGGAGGTTTACCTTTTATTATGCCTCTGATATTCAGGATTTGAAGATGTTTTTTGTCCGTAACACGCTTATAATCGAAAGATTCCAGGCTCAGTCTTACCAAAAGTCAGAAAATGAGTGCGGAGATATAACTGAGTGGCATGCGATTCGTCGATGAGTGTTTGGGTTGGGTTGAGGGTTCGTTGCATAGCTTACCCAGTTATGGTTTGGCGAGGATAGGTGACCGGGTGCCTTTACCTATGTATCCACATTAAGACTACAGAGTTAACTATCAACGTCACAGGTTTGTAGGATTTATTCGTTGAAAGGCAAGAACTTCTCTTTGTTTTAAATAAAACGCGGTGGTATTTGTTTGGTGGTTACTTGTCAATAATCCTGAAGGAGGTCTAGCTTCACTGTTTATGCACATGTATCCGTGTGTTATTACATATAATCACGTAGATCACCAATGTAGATGATCTATGTCAAATGACTGGAGAGATGCTCGAGTTAAACATGATTGGTGTGACGAACCACACAACTTCGAAGTCATTGTATTCAATGTGGATTACACCTTCGACGTATCAAAGTACTGTGGCTTCTTTGAAGACCGTGTAACACAAGAGACGTTATTATAGAAATATATTAGAAAGGATGAGTACAGAGATGGCGAGACCACCACCACACGGGTCAGTCCATAGCATACGATTAACTGATATATATTGGTTGTCCTTTACCCTGACAGGGGTCGGTGATCTGTTCGATACTTAGTAACTCAACTGCCGGATGATTTGGCCAAAGCTCAGTGACATTTCACTGAACCTAAACGGGTAGATTTAAATGCAACGTTTCCATGTAAACACAATGTATCGCCCAGTGTAATAACGGTCATGTCTACGTTCATGTGGTCATAGGATTTTTCATATTACGTTGTATTTTTAAAAAAAGAACTAGATTGTGCTGTAAATCTTGCTCTGGTTGTAATTTCTATTCGTCACGTTTGACTGCGTTACGCCGGACGTGCATTGCATGCTGGAATGATATCCCAAATCACTAAAAGTTTAATCACATCGTTGATTTTTTTCAAGTAGACCGTTAGTTAATAACGTTACTGAAGAAGGTTTTGTAGTGCTGTAAACAATGTTGATATGGACAAGTCACTATTGTCTTCAGCCTCAGAACAATTTTTGTCTTCTGTTAAGTACGTTTTAAAGCCCTATAGTTCGTATTTTGGGTTTATAGGGTTAGTTATCTACATGTAACTACTTTGAGTAACATGTCTGTGCAAATGAAACAATAATTATGACGTCTGCTTACTTTAGTACTCTTGGTTATCGTATAATTAAGTCTAGTCGATATGATTATATCGGAATTATGTACAGTGCTTGAAGCATGTAATGAAGCAGATCAGTTTAGTAAGTACAGCTGCCTGCTTCTAATGAGCGTACTGATTCAAATCAGTCTGCTTGCAAATTGTAAAAGAAGTGCCTTTAATGCTATTGCTGTCATGTATTATAAGATAGCAATAAGTATGTTAGGTGTTTATTTGTAGACTATATGTCTAGCTCTGACTACATTTCAAGATCACTGTCATTAAACAATTTTCCCAGCGTTAATATCGGTAGCTGGATAGCTACTGCAAAATGGCAGTATACAGTTCTGGAAGAAGAGTGTTTTGAGTCTTAACTGCATGCAGCTGGTTATAGACAAACATCAAAAATCATTTTGACAACTGGGTCTCATAATACTTTCGAAAACATTACTGGTATCCACAACCACTGGGCCTCCAGAGTTAGCTTCACTCGTTGATGGAGTAGTATTATCCATAATACTGAAGAAGATAACCAACTGGATAATGTTTCCTTTCATTGCACCCGATAACATCATGGATGACAGTCAGGAAGGAACATGCAGATACTTGGAGTCTCATGCGGCAGCAACACTTATTTAACTCCGGTTTTCGATATCTAAAAAATAATACTCAAAACAAACCAGATTAACTTTTCATAAGCAATGATGAATAGTGGCTAGTAGTAGAATCCGGAACGCGCGTTTCTTCCTATTTGGGACTCGTCAGATGGATGTACCTGCATCACAGAGTTGAAGTTCACTCTGGGACTCGAACCCAATACCATTCGCTTCAAACGCCATCACGTTATCAACTCGGCTGCTGAGTCCTGATAGTCATTTGTTTTTGCGATGGGGTGAATTTAAATTCATTTGGTATCGTTAGGCTTGTATCTTCCCACTGAGGTTTAATGCTGCAATTGAATAGTCTGTTATTGGTCTGTGTGGAAACTGTGCGTTTGCCTTGATATTGCCTTAATTCACAAGCTTTTTCTAAGCAATGATGGATAGTGGCTAGCACAAGCAGATGGCTATCAGAACTCTGTAGCCGAGTGAATAACGCGATGGCGTTTGAAGCGAATGGTATTGGGTTCGAGTCCCAGAGTGAACCTCAACTCTGTGATGCAGGTACATCCAGCTGACGAGTCCCAAATAGGAAGAAACGCGCGTTCTGGATTCCACTACTACCCACTATTTACCAGTGCTTACAAAAAGCGTGGGAATTAAGGCAATATCGAGGCATACGCACAGTATGCATATATGCCAATAACATACTGATCAATTGAAGTCTTGAACCTCAATGGGAAGATGCAAGCCAAACAATACCAAGTGGAAAGAGATTAACATTTTATAACATAAAACTAGCGAGCTTGCCTGAAGAAATAGATTGACTTGAGTAGCAGCAGTCAAAACTCAGAAAGCAAAGCTGAATCAAAGAAAATTTGCACTAACATTTGGAATATTGCATTATTTGAGGCACAGAAAAAACAGTGGGATAGAAACACAGGACGAAGAAAGCCGATCGCCATCGCTTACAAGGATAGGGGATATAGTAATTTCACCCTCGTTTGGATTGATTACAAACAGACTGCCACGACTTGGAAAACAGGTTGCATTTAATTGCAACCTCCCACTCATTTATATCATTACGTTCATACCCTACATAGTATTTTTAAAAGAAACTAAACAGGAAACGGACCAGGTAAGAGTGGAGGTTTCTGAATAAGTCTACAAGCTTAGGGGAAATTGTAGCCAGCATAATTTACTCAAGTGGGAATGAAAAAATTCCATGAATAGCTCCAAATGAATAACACATTAACTAACTTAGGGAGGTATGATTGGTAT